TGTCTATGAGGTAAAGTCGTTTTGGTAATAAAAAGTTCTTTCGCTGTGATAAAATTGTGAAACTTAAGCTGGCCCAATATCAATTCTGTAAAAGTATAATAATTTGTTGGTCTCTACTAATAGAAATAGTTTTTGTTTAAACAGTCAGTATTTTTGTAACAAATAAATTTAAACTTAAATGTTATTAACAATACAAAAAAGGTATTTTTTTTACATAAAACAAATTAAAAAATCCAGTTCTTACATAATCTATTAAAGTTATTATTAAAGATATTTATTATATCTTTATACGGTTTTAAATACTAATACAAAACAAAAATGTATATATATATATATATTCTAAAGCTGATCAAAATACTAAATAAATGTATGCAGAATGTGTATTCAAATATTTTCTTTTATTGAATAATAAAAAAAAGGATTCAGAATAGTATTCGAAGAAAAAACAAATATTCAGATACTTTTATTCGAATAGTTTTGTTTAAATATTTAACAAGGCGACAAAAATAGTAAATACTAAAATTCAATGTTCTTAATTTAGTATAAGTTAGTAACACACTAGTTAGGGCCCCTGTGTATGTGTTGCATACATTGTACATTGACGGCGTAGCTTTTGTAATCGTAACTAATTTTATACAACATTTATTTTGTACTTATATTATTAATTAATTTGTTAAATGGGTAGTTAAAATTGTAATTAGAAGTGGGTCCCGAGTAAAGTATTTCTATTGTTCTTGTAAAATACATTTTGGCTATGCTACACATGTATGCTATGCTTTTCACTAAATGATTATTTATTTTTTATTTTAAAATACAGACAGTTAGCTCTATGATATACTAATACAAATACTTACAAAAACCGTAACTTATAACTTCTCACGCGAAAAACATACGTAGGTTGACCAACTAATAGTTGGAATATATAAATAAATAATTAGGTTAACTAAATATTTAATTGGTCGAACTAAATGTATAGTTGCTTGAACTATTTATTTAGTTATTCCTAATATAAATATTAAATATATTTTGTCCTTGTCTCATAGTTTATTCTAATTATCTATTTTTTCCGTGATACTAAATTTTTCAAATTAAGTCATCGGTTTAAAAATTAATCATAAAGGTTAAAGTAGTAGACTTTATACCCTTTGTGGAAATTTGTATTATACTTCTATTATTAAAAAAAGTTAGATCTCATTTCGATTTTCAATATTTGTTTAAATTATTAGTATGATTTTTTAATAAATTATACCTACTTGATAGAATTTTGTGAAGGTTTATGAAACGTTATAGTTTCTGTTTGTGACTATCTTAACTGTGTAGTTTTAAATATTTCAGTATATATTATGAAACAAGACCAGTGCTGCGCAGTAACAGCAGAGGGGAAGATCGCTTTCTTGTTAGTAGGAATTTCAATATATCACCATCATATACAGTACACAATAATGTAATTCGTTGCCTGCGGCTGTTGTGAGAAGCAATTTACTCGCGACCTCGGCGGCTGCTTTGCATGGCAAAACGAAAAAGCCAAATAACAAACCATCTCTGGGGGCATATGATATTCTTCTTTGATACGCTCCAAAATCAAAACTTTACCTCATCACAGTGCCCGACGAGCGAGGGATATGCGGAAATTTGCCGGCGGCCAAACCAGCGAGGAGTTGTTGGTCCGCATACCGAGAAGGTCGATTAGTTTGAATATTCAAGCAACCGTCTAAACTCCTGCTGAACGTCTTGTTATATATATTGTTTATACAATCTCGCGGTGCGGACAATCGAATTATTTCGCTCCATTGTTTGACGATATTTGTCATCGGCATAGGACGCACCTTTTCCTTTTGGCGTTATAACATCAACGGGTGTCTTAGTTAAAAAATATATTAAAATTGTATAATACAATTTTACGTTAAAAATAAACGCACAACAGGGCGGGATCGATTGAAATGGTGTTTACTAATTGACAATAAACAATCATTATTTGTCTTTTTTTTATGTTCCAACGCTATAGTTTTCATCATTTCGGTGTTTTATATACATTATGGTAGTTAGACTAAATAGTTAAAAAGCTGTTATGGACGAGCGAGAAACGGCAAAATAAATGTTCACTCGTAGGCATAGGAAATTGATAAATTTAATTAAGGATGTTTAAGAGGACGCCACTTTTCTCTTTTTAAGAAGTAAAAAATAGAGGTGTTACCAATGGGTGGCTTCCTCCTCACGATATTCAAGCCTTGTAATATAGATAAAAAAACAAAAAAAAAAACTTATTGTACATATATATTGTATAGATTGTTTTGTATTATTAATAAAGAAAAAAAAAAAAAAAAAAGAAGTAAAATATAGTAAAAAACTTAATTTAGAGTTTGCATTATAGTGTATACTTATTAACACAGTAATGAGGATACTTTATTGATTGCCTTTTTTTTTGTCAGGCTTTAATAGTTATTTCTATAGGATAAATTACAATTTGTTCCCCATCAAAACTGCTTTGCATGGGTCAAGTATGTGAGGCCAGTATTTATAATAAGATTTATCAAATTTCCACAATGTATAGAAAAATTGGGATATAACATATTTATATTATATCCCTTAATATCGGCTCTAAATGCTTTAACTATGGTCTATTTAAACATATTACCAGAACGTGAATAGATAAATAACGCAGTCACAAATTTAATTGTAGAAAAATACTGAATACATTTATATATTATTATTTGTAATACGTTGGTATTTTCAGTACTTTAAGTTCCTTTAAATACTAAGTATAGTATTTAATTTGTATAAGTATTAATGATTTTGAATTTATAATATAATAAAAATAAAAGCTAAAGGGCATTAACGACATTTTAGGAAGGTGGGTGTATAGATTATTCACAGTTAACAGTATATTATTACGTTTGTGTCTCATAATAAATAAAATGGATATTTTTTTAATTTTCTGGGTTACTTTTAAATTTCCCATCCTAGGCTTATACCTATCCAACCCTCTTCTAGCTCATATAATCTGTATTATTTTTATCTTATTTTATACGATAAACTTAATAAAATAATATTTTAATTAACTGAAACGTATGCATAAATATATTGTGCGATATGCTTCCTTAAAACGTATATTTATAAAGTCAACGATAAAAATAATAATAATTAACATTTATAACAAATCTGTTCACTTATTTAGTTAATATAAATTTTCAAATATGAATGCAAAATAAAAATAACAAACATTAAGCCATTTTCTTCGATATCACACCTAATATTATATATTTTATTTATATTTGTTTAGTTTTTACAGACACTTCAAGGTACCGCATAGGCCAACAATACAAAATGTTACTTAAATGGGGTCATGGGCACAAAAAATCTTTACATTTCCAAAGGGTTGAACCGTGACCATTTTTTTTCATCTACCTTCTGTATTATTGTCAACGAGTCTGACAACCGTGTTAGGGTGTTTATAGCCGATAAATTAAATAGGTACCGCAACACATAGTGAGGCCGAAACTAATTTTATATCCATCAGGAAGACAGATTTTACAATAGTCAAAATAATTATATTTTTTTTTATCAAGTAACCAAAAAAACTGTACAATATATATTATACCATGCGCCAGTGATAACCTAAATCAAACGAATAAAAACTAATAGCCGTTTCGGACTATAACGATTGATGATGACATTTAATAAAAACACATTTTAAAGAAAATAATGTAATCAAATTTTATTAAGATTCTATACACACTATCGATAACCTTCTAATTATAGTTGGGCTATCTAATAAACACTCGCCGAATCATATGGATTTGCCGCCAAAGGTTTATAGATTTTTACATATTTACTATACATAAATTACATTTACGCGTAATGCGTTGCAGCGGAATTGATGATAATATTATAAGAAAGAAAGGAACTTATTACAAACGATGATGGAATAATATATTTTTTTAAATAATTAGTTTACTATTTTTAAAAAAAATAAACCGTTATAACTATTTAAGTATATTTTATGTAAAGAGTGTTACATTATCCTCTTCAAATTCTCAACTCGTTACTAATCCTAACTATTTTGCATCGGCTACCCTACCTCATAACTGATTTAAATCTTGATTTACCTCATTCTAGTTCCATTCTAGTTGGATAAACCATAATAACCAGGTTTTATAATTTAATTTAACCAACTACTGTTAAAATATATACAATTTTAACGGGGCTACCGTTGTTAAAGGTAAATCCTATCACAAAGCCTGCTAGAGTCATTTGTTGTTAAAACGAACGGCCACAGCCCACATTGGATAATAGGTTTGTCAATGGTCTGTGTGTGTTTAATGTCATTCGGCACCTAATTATTATTGCTTTCTATATCTAGCAGTGTGTTAGTACCGTTTCGTAGTAGCAGTAGTAGTTCAATGGGACGAAAATGAAACTATACAAGTTACAACTACACTAATTACAACTAAACCAACTTATGTCAACTTATGGTAAACCTCCAACATCTCACCATAAAGTGTAAATGAAAACTTCAATATGGGTTTTTTATTGTACCTAATTTATTTATTTATGTCAAAAATGTTTTTTTCTAAATTACAGAAATACTCACTATATTTTCCAAACTATAAATCGTTGAAAGTCATATATAATGTAGACATAACTGGATTCATCAGTAACCCTTCGTACAAATAGAGCTTTCTACAAACTAATTGTAGAAAATAATACTTTAACCTTATGAATTTTCATATTTTGTTTTAATTTTTTTGTTGCAGTTTGAATGGAACAAAAGGATTTTTTGATTATACATAAAAGTAATACGATATAATATTTAGGTATTAATTTAACATCACTAAACATTTATTTATATATTACATGCAAAGATTCAAATATTACTTGTATAATAATATTTATGATATAGTACAAATAAAATAACGTATTTACAAAATGTTGATTTTAAAAATTTTACATTTTTTAATTATAACACAAAAAAGCACAGGTAGGTATTAATATATTATCGCCTAATTGCTGTCGTTATCGATGCCCAGTAACGTTCGTATACTGAAGTCTGTAAGGTTTTCGGTGACCATAGGAGGGGCGGCTAGTTGGGTGGCCATGGCTTGATGTCTTTGGTACTGATACCATTGGCACTGCGCGTTTTTCCTGTGGCTCACTAGCGTTCGCATTTGACAAAATCCCTTTCCACAAGATTCGCACGAAAAAGGCTTGTCCTTCATGTGAACGTATCTGTCGAACAAAAATACAATTTAGCATATGTTTTAAACATTCACAATCTCAAAAGACGGTATCACGTGTTGTCGAAACCGCACAGTAAAACCTGGTTTAAAAGTCACTTACTTATGGTCTCTTAGATGATCCTGTCTGCGGAAAGCCTTGCCGCAAACGTCGCAAGGGTAAGGCCGTTCGTCGGTGTGAGTGCGGACGTGTATGAGCAGATTGTAGGACTTGCTAAATTCCCGGTCACAGTAATCGCATATGTATCGCTTTTTGGGCTTACCGCCGGCCGTAACGGTCATCTGTTTCTGGACGTTCCTCGAAAGAGCCATAGCCCTCGCGTACCCTTCCATTTGGGAAGAGGCCTCTATGGCGCCGCCGCCTAGGACGAACGCCCCGGGCTGATGAAATCTCGCCCACACGGTGTCCACGTACAGCTGAGGAATATTATCCAGCAGACCGAACCTGGAGGCGAACCTCAACGATTCTTCGGTGGCCAACATCTAGAAAATTAAAGTAATTACATGAGTTATATCAGGTACATTAAGTGCTACCTGCTGCTGGGGTTACGCGCAGGATTCGTAATGATCCGGGTGGAAAAGGGTTGGGTAGTTTTTAAAATAGATATTGGGAGGAGTTTTACATATTATGAAAGGTTATTTAATATCGCCCGTTTAGAATGTAAACGCGCCGAGGTTTGGGAACGAGTGGGTATTCAGTTTACTATGATTATGAGGTACGCATCCCGATTAAGGCGGGTAACGGTGAATTTCGTGTTTCGTATTCGATGGACCCGCTAATCGTCAATCGGTTTAAAATCGCACTGAAAGTATATTTATAAGGGGATAGTTGTTGTTATTATCTCTGGAAAAGAAAAAAAAAGGTCCTAAACGCAAAATTACGGATAATATACAGTTTTGTAAAACGTTAACTCGTTGGTAGAATTAACGTGCTCCCTTTGCGGCCAACAGTAATACCCTTGAACGAAATTATAGTTTTATATATATTCTCGTATCTACTCCTTAGGAGGGGGCAGCAATCGTCCTACATGGGTTTCTTATAAGTTAAATCCGATTCCGGTATTCTTGTAACTAATATGTTTATGCGGTTTTCTTTTACAAATGGGAAATCTAATTAACGATTTTCATATATTACACATAAAAATGTTGGACGTGTTTTGTTAAAATCAGAAACGCGAGACGTCACATCCATAACAATTGATGGTTTTATATTTTTAAGTTTAAAAAAAAACATAAGCACAAACTGACAGAAGTGATTACAATGGTTTTGAAACGACTATTGTAGTTTGAACCTAGTAGCTTATACATTTGGCAGTGGTAAAAACTAAAATCATATTCAAAAGAAATATTGCAATTTGGCGCAAGAAGAAAAATGGCAAAAACATTATTATAAAACTATAATACCATTTTAAATTTGCATCGAAGGCTAAAATATGATTTATATAGTGGGAAAAAAATATTTCATCATCGACTATTGACAGTACTCTTTGAGGTTTTAATTCTGTGTTGATAAGAAATTAAATTATAATATTATGAATTATTTTAAAGCAGAAACATATATGTTTAACACAATAGTGAAATTAATATTGAATGAAAAATGTTACATTAATGTTAGAACGCTCTACACATAGGTTCTAAGATACATCAGAATTAAGCATACAAATTATTGAGAACAATATTTAGTTAGTTATTTTGTTTTACTGTTGGCAGATTGACCTACAAAAACAATATTATTGGATGGGCCGCTTTGCTGTATAACATGCATCCTAAGATACGTGATTAGATATTACTATTAAGGAGGGAGTATCACCGTACAGTTTCTAAACGTGACTAAAATGCTTTTCCCGCGTGTTAATGACAGAGCACAGTATAACTTTATATTATATGAACCTACATAAATAATTCTATAGTATTAAATTTGCGCCACTTTGCTAAAAAATTTAATATCACACTTTCACATGCACATGGGTAAAAACTCGACTTAAAAACAAAATAGGTATTTCTTTAATGTAAAAACGGATGGCACGTACCTTGTATGATTAGTGGTCGATTTGGCTTTAAAGAAAAGTTCAGTTGTCGGTTGTCTGTAGAGTGTAGATTTGCAGAGGTCTTACACGGCAGTAAACTAGGACACTCGCAAGACGGTGAGCGGTGGTCGGTTGTCCGGTGGTGACTGTATACGGCTGCGCCTTGGGCCACGGTTTAAGGGTTGAAAGCGAGGGTGGTTTTTGTAGTGTGCTCCTATTGGTCCGACGCTGATATCCGTGAAATTCGGTCAACCCCGCCGCGCGCACACATACACCCCCACTAAAATGTAAACCTAGGGAAGGAAGGTACATACGTAGTAATATAGTATACATAAGAAGAAAAAAAGCTAAAGAAAAAACCATCCCTATACACGACGCTGTGCGTGTATACTTCGTGTAAGCCGCCCAATCACGCACATAATAACAATATAATATAATATAACAGAGTATAATATAACGTTTGATACAGCCTTTGCTTTGGTTTAATGATACGGTTTGACGCCTCCACGGTCTCGGTCGTGTGTCATCCGCGCTCAGCTTACCCTGTAATTAAAAACAAAACCTGCCCCGAGGGTTGTTTTATCGTAAACGTACATACAATGACTGACCTCCGTGTACTGTGCAGTATGTTACACACATCAACGATAAACGCTAATATTATTTGCTGCAGCAACGGGTACAGCACGAGGCGGTGACTTCTAAAACACAAACGACCATAATATTGTATATCACAACTCCGCCGCCGCCGGTTTAAGACAATACAAAATTATTATTATACGGACAAAGTCGTCTAAAACGTGCACATATTACACGGTGACAATTATTATTGTTTTATATTTTAATATTCTTACGTTTAACTTATAACTACCCGGGTGTCCGGCCCAAAAAAAAAAAATAATAATAATATGCTACACTATTCTAGACAACCGCGGTTATACGCGAACAATAGGTTGAAAAATATATCTTTCTAAATTATTATACTGTTCATATTGTGTGTGGTTTGTTGCTTTATTTTGTAACTTACGGGTAGTTTGTTTTATGTATAAATATATATGAAAAACAAACTACTCGAAAGTCACAAAATGTATACACAAAAGTTAATATGCCCAGAGTGTGGAACCCATCGATCACTGGTTCTATCAATAATATATAATAAAAGCACTTACATTTATAGTTTCTGTAAAATAATTTTCTTTCAAAAAAAATCCTAATTTTTATGTTTTCCAAAATTTTAATTTCAAATTTATCTTTATTAAAAACTTTAAGAGACTAGTGTAAATATTTGTTTGCTTAAAATACACCCAACCATTATTTTATTAAAACACATTATTATAAATTTTATATTTTCAACAAATTTGTTTATCTGATTAAAAATTACCTCATATTACGACGTTCAGTATAAAATTTCAATGTAAGTACAGATTTTACAATTATTTTTCTTGAACTTTCTAACTCATTCAAAATCATTTTTACACTTCAAGTCATTATTTAGTATTTTCATTACGAACAAATTTTTTCTACAATTTCTCCAAAATCTAAAATTATCAATTTAGATGCCTATTGTGATTTTAAATGTTATTTTTCTGAATTCAATAGCCATTCACTAATTTAAGCAAATTCCTTCTTCAAACAATTTGAGTCTTCACATATAATATGTAATTATATTTTTTCGTAGCTACTCCATATATATCTATAAAAAGGTACCTACTGCCTTCTTAATGTACTAAACAAATTGCTATCCTGGGCAAATAGGTACACTTCCAACTTACAGGCCTGTACAGTATTATTTATATTTCATGTACCTAATAAATAACATGATATTGTAATGTAACACGTTATATGAAATTTGAATAACCCTGCTTATTTAATTTCTTTAATTAGATAAGCAACTATATTTTTTGTTAATGTTTGAATAACACTGGTACATTATATAGACAGTAGGGGCTTGTAGAAAGTATACAATTACGTAAAACTCCTCATAGCTCCTTGTGAGATTTATACTTAGCGATTTCTAGAGTATTTTGTTGCCCACCAAGCAGTAAACGAAGAAAAACTTTAGACCCTCTGCAGAATAGTATTATCCAATTATTCCTATCTGACTTTTTTTTCAGAAGATTGATGCTAAATATAACTTTATGATTCTTTTGTAGGTTACCGCATTAGCGGTATTTGGGCTTTAAACGACATTATATCTACTGTAACATTTATAACTGTTTTTATTTATATATATATATATATTTTTTTTTTTACGGACCATTGGTAATTTGTCATAATTATATCATACTCAAAAATACTGCGCTATCACGTTTCACATGATTAACGCCGCGTGTGAGCTGTGTGTCTTGAATTTTTACATTACATCAATTATGAAAAACTCTCGTTACACAAATTGCTTAATTTTGAAGATGATTATGTGCGAAACTGCAATGGATTGCGGCACACAGTGTATACCTACTGTTGTTTTAGTTTTACTATGACACGAAACTTCTTTTAGGATAATTTTTTAAATATTATAGTCTTATTAACACATTCTTGGGAAACCTTGCCATAGAAATGAAATCACGGTAATAGTATAGTCTTTTTTTTATATATAAAGTGCAATAAAGTTAACGTAGAAAAATACTGTGAATATTTTATTATCTATCGTGTTAATAGATAATAATGATAATAGTTGTTATCGTTTTGTATAACGGGTAATCAACATAGTAATAATCACTATTATAATTAAATCTACAACCTGATTCCCCTCATTATTTCATACTAGTATTATTCCAAGAATACAATTTTTAGTATGGGAAAATTGTTCCTTAAACAAATTAAATCATTCTTTCATAACCAAGTGTTACAGAATTAGGTATCTATTATTAATACGTATAGTTTATACACGGCGTAGACAAAACAAATGACGGAAAGTAATAATTATTTGTTATTTGTTTAAAAGGTTAAAATTTAGTTAAATTTAAATTTGTTTATATAGCTCTAAATGTAATTAATATTAATTTAGATCTTAGTTATTCGTTATATTAAAACTATCAAGGTTTAAGATGTGAGATGAATTGTACATTTATACAAGGAATTCATATCTAATTGACAATTAAAAAAAATCTTAGATATTACATTAAATAATACATAAAAAAAAAGTTATTTTTATAGTTGTGAAGTCTATACATTAAAATGATGTGCAATAAGTACCTATTTACATAAAATATGTGTAAGTAATCGACCTACAGATTATTATTCAAATCATAATCCTAAATATTGAAATGATAAATGCGGCTGTTTTTTCTTTTTACAATTATCGAACTAATTATAATGACCGTTACATTCTTCAATAGTTCTAATTAAATATTCAAAAACAACTAAAACCTAAGTGTGTTGTGTAACACAACGTGTATCTTAATACGTTTGATTTTATTACTTATTTATTTTTATAATATTATCTCATCATTATTAATTAATTGTAAGATCTGAGTTATCGGTTTGTATGGTACCTAATTAATATTATTATTGTCATTTTTATAGAAACTCTTATGTATAACTCAATAACTGTACCAATTTATCTATAAAATTGTATTAGGTTTTTTAAATAATTTTGAAATAGGGTAGTTTAATGGTAGTCAATGGTAGTTTCAACCAAGAATAAAACTTAAATGAATGTATTAAGTGTAAATTATTAAAATGTTTACGGGGTATTAGTCAGTAAGTTCTAGTTTGTGACTATAAAGTTTTTACTTTAAAGAAGCTAGTGGCTTGCTAATTACATAAGCGCTACTTTTCATTTAAATGTTATTTTTTAAACCATTTTAGTTTTTATAAAATAGTAGAATAGTTTGTAACAAACCGTGTAAAAAATACAATAAATATGTTACATACTGAAAATATATCTAATTAACTGTTAAAATAATATAAGATGGAATAAGTACTTTGGATAGGGGTCTAAACGGGTTCAGAACCGGGTCAGAAACCGGGTAACCTAAGATAATCCTAAGATGGAAATCATTTTCAGCTCCTAAAACCAAGACACTAAAAAAGTAGGAAATGTTTTCACTCTTAAACCGACACTAGAAAACATTTTACTAATTTTTAAAAATTTATTTTTTTACTAGTTAGTTTTCCGGTTCAGTAAAAGTTGAAGGTATTTCAAAAGAATACAAAAATAATGCTTTTTCTTATAATTAATCATTTTTTCAATCATGGATACGAAGGTATTTAAATAAATATCTAAAAATGTATGGTGTCCCTATAATATTAACCATAATTTTAATTGAACCAACTATGTTTTCCCGTGCACCCGGGATTTTTAGCGGCGACCAATGCTTTGTCTCCAGCACTCATGTTCCACATCTACACTAATCCAACCAAACCCAAAACCAACCAGAAAAACCGATAAATAACAAAATCAACCAACAGCTAATAACTATAGTAGCCGAAGTTTAAAATTTAAAAAAAAATGATTAATTATTAGTTAGTACTTAGTCTAACCTACTATAATTATTCCGTACTATTTAGTATTTATTTAATTAAATCACCCAATAAACTACAGTTAACTTTATTATTTAGATTTTGAAATACACAGTAACTACTTACTAGTAGTTATACATTTAAAATACAATTTGTGAAAATATATAACTCTTGTTTATTTATTTTACACAAATGGTAAAATATTCTACTGATTGTATTTTACTGCAATGTCAGAAGCTAATTTCGTGTGTGACAATAACATTTTAAGAAAAATACAGAATAGGTAATAATTACTGTACGGGCGGTTTTCAGACACAATTATATAAGCGTTCAAGGCAAAATGTATACCTACTTACGTCTTAAAGGCTATTGTGGCGCGCGTCGTGTGTTACCATGCATAAGTATCCATACAATAATAAGTACACTTATTCGTCAGAATATGCGTTAAGAATTCGAGTAAAATAATATCAAGGTATAGCCGTGATGACCCATAAATGAATAGTAAATCAGCATCAATATTGGATCGATGTAATGCTTAATATGTTTTTCTTATCCATACTAATACCTATGTTTTATGAAAATACAAGCGTGGCAGTGCAACTGAACAATTGACGACCCTTAGAGAGAGTCGGGAGAATCTTTAAGGTTAACACCATCAGGCTTAAAATAACCATCATGATAATTCTTGTTTCATATATCTTTTTTATTCGATAGGTGCCTATTACTACTGTATTCCAGACAAATATCATTACATTTTAGAAATGTGTGTACTATTAATAGTAAGTTATTTAAGTATTGAGTTCTTATTCTGACAATAGTTTACCATCATAGACCGGCGTCCTATGCCATAGGTTATTACTTGTTGGATGTGTATTTCCTTTGGACACTTATTTTTCAGTTAAACTTAACGAATAACAGGTAAATAACAAGAAACGATTTTTACAATATGACATTTAGGTAGCCCCAAGGGGATTATAGTTTGGACCCTGCCATAAAATTTAAAAGGGACGTCAAAATGTTATGACATCGGAAAGATTATTAATTTGTATAAGACGAAATTACTGCGGCAAATTGATGTGTAATTACTGCGTACACCAAAGTTTTTGCAAAAATAACAAAAATGGTTACTTATATTTTTTTGATAAATACTAATTTTGTCTTAGATTTTGTGTAAATTATACGTTGTGTTCTAAAAAAAACGTTTTCATTGTGTTGGCTAAACACATTTTTGTTAAAATATATACTATTAATAGACAACATAAAATATGTAAGTATTATTTAGGGTTTAGATTTATTTCATTCAATATTATACACTATCAAATTTTCTTAAATGGCGAATGCCAATTGATGAATTTCGATTAGGATATCACTGCATCAACAACAAGTCGCGGCCGGTGGCAAATAGTTATGTGATGTAGGTAGGTATAAAATCTACAAAACAAATTATATTATTTATTACTAGGTAAAATATTGTCGGAGAATCGTGGATATTCCGATAGTATATTTATTAAGAATACTGAATAAGAATTACACTACGTCACTAACTTTTATTTGCGTGTTAAATGTTTTAGGAGATGCACTTTTTTGTGGAAGTGAGCAGTTTTAGTGTAAGAACAATACGTCTATATCAAATTCAATATCGATACTTTATCTAGATTTGAGCGATAAAATTGTTTTTAATTGACATTTTTTTTACATGTTCAAAAACAGTAATGCTATATCATAAAATCAATCACTTTAATCAACAATTGTTGTAGTTATGAAAATAATTTAAATTTTAGCTTGGACACGTTTTAAATCCGGTTGTAAGTATACCGTGTTAAACACGGTTGTAAACATTAGAAACAACATTAAATACATATCAGAATGGATTTTTGTGTTTTTTATGTTAATATTAAAATTGTAGGTGAATATCAAGTTTTATTTTTAAAAAATGCCTTAACTTAATAAATATGTGGTGTGACGTCCCACAACACAAATCATGAATACAGTATACATCAAAAACGGTCTGTACAATATCATCATGATGTTATAGGTCGAGTTTGATGTATAGAAATCCTTTTCAAATTACACACGTTCATCAGTGACGTAACCCGACATAAGGACCGGCGGCCTGTACGTTATATCTGTTTCCGTTGAGTTAGCGTTAACCATTGTTGTGAACACGGATACAGCCGTGTGGCACTGTAGTCGAAGCCCTAGGCCCCTGCGGGAGCGGCGGTGGCGGCTGCAGCATCGGCAGGAGCACCGACGCGGTGACCCGGCCGGTTTAGGTAGGCAACCCGCAGCCGGTCACCGGTGTACGGCGTACGGCGGCAAATCGGTCGGTCGGTCGGCCAAGGCACCAATGGCGGGCTACGGGCAGCAACGGGTGTCGCCGCCTACCGCCGCGTCAGGGAGTGGCCCGGGCACGCGGCCGTCCGCGCCACCGTCGCCTCGTCAGTCTCCCCCGCGCCACGGTCGCCCGTTCGTGTGCTCCCTTAAACGCATCAGCTATACCGTTCTAGGCCGCCGCTGCTCCAGTTGTGTACAACGTCACGAAAAAAAAAAAAAAACAGTCAAACAGATCACACGCAGGATCTGCTAGCCGCTGTCCGAACAACAAAGTGTTCTCACTGTTCATCGGTTGTCGCTCACACTCGCACACATCTGTCGCACAATAGAAGAAAGTTAGAACGTCTATTGCGCCCGTGTGTGTGCATAATATTTTATTTTATATTCTGCACACTATCGACGACACGGAAACTGCCGATATAGATTTACGCGCCAAGTACAGCATCGCTCACTCGAGACAAAACAATTCACGTCTTGAAAAAAGGTAATATTCAAAGCAACGCATAGTTATTATTTTATTTTAGTTTCACCGAGTGTTGTTCAACCGTCAGATTTCTAAATGAATAATCTTTTATACATCTTTCATTACTATAATATAAATTAATAAACATGTTAAAGACATAATAACGATATTTGGTGAAATCGAATGACTGTGACAACGGCTATTGTCTTACTTCTAAAAAGTACAGTAACTTATAGAGTTATTTGATTTGAAATCATTTTCATTTTACAGTTAGGTGTTTAGTAAAATACTATAAATCAGTACGTACCTATAATACAATTAAATGTTTATACGTGCATGTAAAAATATGTTACAACTTAACAATTATACCGTTGACCGAAATCTAAAGTGATTTTTTATTTTAAATGTATTTTTTCGTTTCAATCATTTTTGCGTTTCAGCAAGTTAAAAAAAAAGCTGTCACGGCATCTCAAAAATCTATTTCTCTCCCAGTTTGCCGCCGCGGTTATATAATATTGTACAACATGATCTCTGTGGTTCTTTAAATTTTTTAAATAATATACTTAGTTTTTAAAATGTTTTTATAATATTTTTCGTTTTTAATATTAGATGTAGTATCTATACCTAATGCATAATGATTGACGAGTAAGGTGAGGATAAGTATATTGAGTATGAACACTGTCTACATATTTATAATAAGCGGTGCCTACGTGGCCTTTTTTTATTGTAATGTGTATTAGATGGGTTTACAAACGATGCGCATTTTGAAAAGATAGGATGGGGATTTACAAGGGTATCCTATTGTACTCGCTTACAATATGTTATGTTATGACGATACTGTGGCTTGTCAACGAGCTCACAATTTATCCCTCTCGTCTATATTATACCCATTACGACCGTAATATTTTGTATATCTATAGAACCTGTCATTTAATAAATGGTTAGTAATCAAATGGATATAATATTTATCCGTAATAAGGAACCGTCACAATTGAAAAAAAAAATTAATTTTCACAACTACACAAATATGAAAAAAAATGTCTATATCATTTGGTCGGTTTACATAGTTGAGAGTTTAAAAAACCCTTTAAAGTGTAGTGGTCTCTCAAAATTAAACATTGGTTGAACGTTTTTTAGTTATCATGGTAATTTTATTATAGTGGGCAGCGCATGTATGTATGTTTAACAGTGTACTATGTTAAGGGTACAAAAGTAATTATTGTTTTTTTTTTTAAATCTAAATTGTTGTTTTGTTTTTGTTTGTTAGGTTATCGTTGTTTTCAACTATGAACTTGGTGTCTCGACGGTACGACTTGCAAATGTCGCCGTACAGTAAATCCGACGATGCAGCCAGCACGGACGAGGAGATCGTGGACGTGGAAAGGCCGGACACGCCACCGCCGGGAGTTCCGGTGGCCGGGGCGGCCGCTCTGTCCGCATGGTTGAGTCCGGCTACCTTTTGGCGCGATCCCGACCAATGGCGTAGTGTGCTGGTCAACTATTACCATATGAATCGGGCCGCCGCCCGTTCCCGTGGCCGCGGTGGTGCCGGAAGCGGCGTTGCAGCCCTAACCGGACGTCCGGTCTCGGCCGGTGCCAAGAAGTCGGCCGGAACAGCTTCACAGGCGTCATCCCGTCCAAAAAAACGCTACATATGCACGTACTGCCAACGAGAGTTCAGCAAATCTTACAACTTGCTAATCCACGAACGCACGCACACCGACGAGCGGCCATATCCCTGTGACGTGTGCGGCAAGGCGTTCAGGAGACAAGATCACCTCAGAGATCACAGGTAATGATTATTTTCAAACAAATACTAATTGAATGGATTGGCCAAGGGAGTTTTTATAGTTTTGACCATTATGTCTACTAAAATTCCCGGTCAAAGTATAACTTTCCTACAAGCAATACGGACTCGTGTACCCGCTCAACTTACTCTGCTGGTTCTGGCCTAGCTCTTCAATATACTTCCCTCAGCCCTAACTCATCGCCGATAACATTTACTCACACATGTAGTTTTCTATTATGTTTTGACTTTCCGACAAGCACGTCATGTTGGTATAGAACAAGCTTCATGGACTGACCGTCTAAAACTATAAGACGCGACGTTTTTATTCGGAACATTTACCTCGGGGTCTACGTATAATTTAAAGTCGTAAATTAAAGATCGTGTACAAAACTAATTGGGAATTTTTTTTTTATAACTATATGTTTTTTTTCCTTCAGGTACATCCACGTCAAAGAGAAACCGTTCAGGTGTCCCGTCTGCGGCAAAGGATTCTGCCAATCCAGAACGTTGTCCAGCCACCGGAGCAACAGAAACTCTATGTGCCTGGACACGACTATCCTTCAACACAGGGATACCGTCCGTCGACCCAAAGCGATCACGGACTTTTCCATCAACTCCATTCTGAATCTGAACTAAATGGTTTTTTTTTTTCTATAGTTTAATATGACGTACGTTTTGATCTCATAAGTGTGTGTGTCGGTTGGTATAATATATAATTATAATATTACTATTGTCGTTGTTATTATAGTTTGCCATTAGATTTGTCACGCCAATACTTATTATATAAATTGCATTTTTTTTCGGTTGCTCGCGTTGTTTAAAGTAATTACAAGACGCTAACGGTTAAGTACAATAATTGTTATTATTATGTGCAAACATGAATTAGATAATAATGTAATTATAATACCTATTGTAATTTTTTTTTTTTAATTCCAACGTATATTTTATACGTTCTTGGAGAGGCCCAGTGTATATTGTAACGATATATTACATATATTGTGTAGTTATTAAACATTATATTTTGTTAGCATATTTTATTGCAATACATATAATTTATTGTAAAATAAATGATTTAAATTTTAGTTATTGCAAAATCACTATTATTGTTTTATAAGTTTTTGTTTAGTTATTATTAAATATATACTATGTATTGTTTTTACCAAAGATATTAAGAAAGATATAAATGACGTGTAAAATGTATAAATATGAAATTATAATATACTTGCAAAACAAAGGATTCAAAGTTATACGTTGTTATATTATCATACTTATTTATATACAATAGAGGCTCAGCCATGAATATTGTAACATAGGTATTCATAATACATATGATATGATAAACATATAAACTACAACCAAGCAACACACATACGCTATGAAAGCCACGACAGCGTTTAAAAGTGTTATTGATAACAATTGAGAAAGTAACATAACAGGTAGAAGAGAACAAAATTGATAGTAATATGAATGGGTTTTATTAGAACACGTCGTATCGGTTCAAATTTGATAATTTATTGGCTCAAAGACAGTGACTGATAATTAATAAGAAGCCGACAATAGTCATGGAGCAAATCAAATGGGTTGCGGCGAAGTGTCACAAAATTAAAGCTACCCTTATGATGGCTGCATTTGGTCGTTTCTATAATAGCGGTTGCTAGGGCAGCGTGCCAGAGGGTCTTATTTTTTTTTATCCTACCAGACGAAAGGTTCGCGGTCTTACAAGAATTCTAACAAAATAATAACCGCACGTTTTGTTAATTTGCTAGCCGCTGACCATTTGTATATTATATCCACACTAGTCCCTCACACTCTCACAGTAGGAAACTACTACACAGAATTGTGCATCGAATCGCTTTGTTCGTTGGATGTGTAATGATATTAATGATTAATATACTTTGCGTTTTCCCTTTCATCGAATCGTGAACGACACATAATAACATTGAAATTCACTTGACGTCTTTTTTTTTTTCAGAGCATGTATTATTTTCCCACGCGCACGCTATCTTCTTCAGCCGTACACCCTTGCGACAGACATGCGTATTAAACGTGTATGTATACAATTTATCTACTATTTAAGTAGGTACATACACAACCTAGTTAAATTTTCGGGATCAACACTTTCGCTCTTAGAAAAAATCATTTTTTTTATCGATTCCGATAATTTGTTATTCTCGCTTATCATATGCGTTATAACTTATAAGTCAATCATGAAGTGGGAAATATCTAAAACCCAGTACGGTATGGAAATGGTGGAAAACTAGCCCATCAGTGCTACCTAGCACGACAGAAAAACAATGTTTTTAACCCGTCGGTCGCATTTTGTACAAACAGTAAAACTGTACTACCATTATATACATATAGTTTATTATCTATACCCCATAAGCCTATACACTTAAAGTTTTAATAGTTGCCAAAACTCTCAATCCAAAAACTTTTTTTTTTACAATGAAAACCCGAGATTGGGTGTAATTTTTATGAAAAAATATATCAGTATAGTGCTATTATTCACTAGAATTTACATGATTTAAGTACGTCTGTCCGCTTATACAAAGGTGGTATCGCTACCATAATAATTATAATCGGATTTCTGGAAGGGATACCTACATTTAACATGGCTTTTCTATACATTTACACTCTATACTTCTAAACTAATAGTATTTTGGGCTCAAGGTTTTATGATTATGGTTCAATAGATGGAACCAGGAACATGATGTTTGTAAATTATTGTACGTATCTGGTTTTCAATCGAATTCAGTAAAACGAACTTATAAGGAAGATATCTTTACATGAAAAAAAAATGACGCTGTATAGATACTTCCAATAGTTGTACAAGACTCAAACTACTTAATAAATAATTATTCATTCAAGTTAAAAAAAAAAAATGCAGCAGCTGTACACAGAACAGGTGCCGGATCGGAGGCGTAACATAAGAGAGGTGAGACGATCACTCGGTCGACCGCTCAACAACGCGGTATAACATGTTTGGTATACACATAATAATGTAAACTCGTATGGAAACCGATCGACCGCTATTATTACACTTTTCATCTTCGAACCGAACACGGTAGCTACCGGCTAGTCCTTAATTAGATAATGTCCGTTGCGTGATTTACCTGCGTGCACGCTTTTCCGCTCCTCCTCCGCGGTCACGTGCCACTTACATGTACAAGCTACCGGTGTTAAGAATAATCATTTAAAATGAATGTGTATTTTTATACACAGCAGTCAAAGACGGCTTGTTTGACCATAAGTATAGACGTTGAAAAACCGAGAGGCGGCTACCCAAGATGTGACCACAGTAGCGGTTTTTAAATATCTCACAGTGAAACATATCATTATGGTATTAATAATACATTTCTTCGTTTATAAAATTTAATAAACTATTCAGACTGCATGAGCCGGGATGTTCATTAAGAGTTGATGAACTTTCAACATTTGATGAATACTTAAACGTCAAATTTTAACCTACCCAAGCCATTATTAGTCTATTTCAAGCTCCCGAGGTATTTTTTAACTCAAGTTTGAAAGGGCGCTTAAAGAGAATTTAAGTTTCTATTTCGCAATCAACGTAGAAAAAAAAATCGAATGTCAATGCGTTTATCATATTATAATATTATCTAATAAGGGGTTGTAAACAAACGGGGTAAATGTAATCACGATTTTTTTTCAAAATAAAATAATCAATAACTTTACATTTTAATTAATTTAAGCTTTTATTCACAATCTCTACAGGATAATGTTTTCTACACAGTTAAACAAGGTGTTTACCCTATTCCTCTAATTAATCAGTACTATAATTATTTTAATTCGTGATATTGTATACCTTAAGAAAAGTTTAGATACGTCTATCATTTAACCAAATTTCGTTGTATAAATCGAACGTGGAATCGATGTATGAACACAGAACAATACAAATATTGAGTGCACAAGTTAAGAAATATGATTTGTATTGCGTTCAATAACGGATATCTAGCATACAGTATTTATTTATTTATTTATTCGTATGGCTTAACAAATCAACATTACAGCATACAGTAAAGAATTAGCTATTGAATATCTTGACTTTCCGATAAACTATAACTTGATAATATTTAATATATATAAACTATTTTAATCAAAATGGGTTCTGTTGATTTAGAAGCAATTTAGCTAAATGCAGAGTATGATTATTAGACACGAAAAAAAAGTTCATATCCGACAGCGGTAACTATATGAAACACATATATATATATATATATATGTTATTAATTAATTATGTACGTTATTAATCCGATTAGATTAGTCAAACAAGTAGCAAATTAATAAGCCTATAGTTTTGTATTTGTATAATAACAGTATAGTTGTACGGAACGCAGATCAATTATAAGGGTCTTAATTATTCAAGTATAATACTATTATAATATAATCGAGTTGAAAATAGCGTCTACCGTCTAGACTTTAAAAAGATAAATTTAAAAAAAAATGATAGAGATTAAACCATCAGCAGTGGCAAGGCGTAGGTTTTTATTGAGTGTAAGCAGTAGTATATTTAAAAAATAATCTGATCCATTGTAAATGCTCACGGCGGACATCGATAAGAAAACCGAAAACAACACTTAATTCGTGATGCAGAATGTTAACTGCGTATAATATTGTAAAAATACTGGCCGTACCTTCATTTTTACTAGGTCTAAATTAAGTATACACGCTCGCGCAAACAGGTCCAAAACAGCTTATAGGTACGACGCTCATGCCTCTTGTATAACCTCTAAATAGATCTAAACAAAATCTATCCGTCTATTAACTAATTTTAGTAATTTTTAAACTGGCAAAAAATTATCGAATATATTTATATACATAACTATTCCCCTTTTTTAAAGAGTACACTGCTCACGTGTGCGCTACACCTTCAGCTGCAAGTAAATTTTAGTTTTGTACCAACAGCCCTACGTTATAGTGGAGTAATAGTAGAGTATTAAGTGAACTGTGTACTGGAAACTAGTTGTTTACTTGTAGTTATAAATCAATACTTACAATACAGTTAAGGTAAACTCTAAAGGTTTCTTAGTGCAGTCACCGTGAATAAGTACAATTTTTTGTGCGCCTAAAACGGTACGGATGTTGTTGAGGTAGAATCTATATTGGAAAAAACCTCCACCGTTGTGATTTACTACTAAAGAACAGTTCTAACGTATAATATGTTAAACCCTTTTTTACATTATTTTTACGTTTCAAACCCTTCTTTTTAGGGGAAAAAAATTGTCTTGCTGTAGTAGAAATATTTTTTCATCACAGTACAGTTTTGTTAAAAGTGAAACTGTAGTTTCATAACGGTGCCTCGCACTCCAAAGTCGTTTTGTGTAGTATTGTTAAAAAAAAAATTACAAACATTTTTTACTCGTCGAAAGCGAAACCGTCTCATTTCGACCCATAAAAGAATATCCTTATATTTTTTTTTGTTTTGTATATAAGTCAGCTTAAAAAAAAAAAAAAATGTTTTTATTTGTTGTATTTTTTTTTTTTAGCATTTCGGTTGATAACCGTATCGGGGACACGGCGCAGCACGACAAATGAGATCCCTACAAAATAAGGAAGACACGGTCTTTATATTGTGGACGTAATATTTTGGCTATAAGGAACAGGGAAATGTGGTCAAACAATATGTCCAGGAAGAAAAAATCTCTCAAGTAATAACAATATATATGCCGCTGTAAATCACCTAAGCAAACCCTTTGACCGTTTGAAAAGATTTTGTCGCGTTCCGGGTTCACGTAGAGTCTGGTGACCCTTTCCCACGTCGGTCTGTGTGTACATGTTTTCATGTTTTGTAGTGTTTTTTTTTTTTTTACTCGTCCAGCCCTGTTCTTAATCGCGTGAAATTTCCTTATTATTGTCCCACACACACCAAACGTACACACTTTATAGGAAATCGAATTAGTCACTCTCACACACATGTACACATACATAAGTGCGCGCGT